TCATTTCGAAAATTAGTACTGCAGTACACTTTTAGCTGTATGCCCAAGTCAAGGAATCCTTTCTCGCCACGCTTGAAGCTGAACGTTTAAATGCTGCACAAGCTTTGGAAGCAATTGAGTTCGTGGGCACCGCGTATGTCTTTTACGATATAGGAGAGGTAAATCTCGTATCTTTGCTTATCATTTACTCAGGCATTCATGAAGTGGAGTTCTCTATGAGACACTCATACTCTCCATTATTCGCCTAACAACAGTGATTTTGAGCGACGGTTTCGTTACTTTCGTGAATTGAATTGTTTAAGATTCCTGCTACAAACATTTTGAAGACGAGTCCGTCACAACCGCAAATAGCAGACGAAGTTGAAGTTAGTGAAGTAAAGGATGAGGACAAACTTCTCCGTACGGTCTAAAGCAATTCAAGGATCTCAGTTCCATATCAGGGTGCAGAGATTCATATACTTCCATGTATAGTTTATTCGTCACAAGCGAGATGTGTACATAATAAAAAAGGTGGACTAGTGAAAACAACGACTAACACTGATAATACAATCATCATTGGCTCACACCCTGTCGTATCCAGTGCTTGACGTTCAGGAATTGAATGTGAGAGGGTAGGGGAAAGAGGAGACGGGGCAGCGAGATTACGAGTGTCATTTGATGACGGACCAGGACAATATGATGCCAGTCAGTGTATATTACGCTGGTCTTCGACCAAATAAAAAGCAGTGGCAATTATGCACCCCTATGTGAGGCATGTACAATCAAATTCCGTTGATTAATCCGATATATGGCTCAAAACAGACAATATGCATCAATTATGCAATAATTAACATAGTTGACCGACTCAAATAAGAGGAGAAGAACTGACTTATTAAGTGATTTGAGATGTGAAAGCTGCAGTCGCACCGCATGTTGCAGAGTGAAGAATATGGAACAACCAGTGAAAGAATGGATTACGGTAAGTCCCACAGACTCAACGGTTCGAGGTAAATGGCTGATTCACGCTGGCAGAGTACGGTGGCGGTGGCGTTCCGTGACGGATCGGATCCCATCCGGAGCCCATCCGCAACGGCTCGCTTCGTCGTCTACGCTGTGCCGCGCCAAGTAGTTGTCCGACTGGCATTTGAGAAGATGAAGACATATGCAGTTCTCTTGGCTCTAGCGACCTAAAAATATATCCGTGATTTGTTTACAAAAATCTGAAATTCTATTTGGTGTTCAAATAAGCCACCTGCGGACTTGTTCTACGCGATCTCTTGAAATTACAGCCCCCTCGTACTTCATATATCTTACATCTTCTGTTGCTATAGCAGGCACCAATTCAGTGATTTCCCTGAAAAAGAGTTTCGAGCAGGGACCATATATAGATTTAACCAAAGTGCTAGGTATACCTGTGACATCCAAAAATGTTATACGCTCTCTCGGTATAGTCCACGTAAGAGTCGGCGATACCCTTTAAAAGAGATATTGCT